CTTATCAGCCTTGAGGATATGTCTGATTGTCAGAACGTTCAGAAAGAGAATCAAAATGAATGGGAGACATGGTGTTTTTTAAAAAAAAAAAAAAAAAAAATTCAATATATTTATAACTCACCCAGAGGGTCATTAAAGTAACTGTCACTCATGTAACAGTACCATGGAACATTATTGATGATCTTTCCAGATTCAAATCGAAAACAGTTGGGAGTGTTCTTTAAAGAAAAGAAAATACAGATTGTTGCTAGAACTGTCATTGCAGTTTTCTCTGTGCAATAATTAGTTTTCATCTGATGAAAACTAATAGCGACAAATCGATCAAAAGATAAAGTAACGTTGAACCAGACAGAACAATCCATTGCAAAGTCGGTCAGGGCCTGGTTCACATTACAAACAGGAGTGATGTCCAAGAAACACTGTGGATAATAATAGTAAGTAAATCGATGAAGTATGTTATAAAAAATAATGAACAGTATATCAGACACTGCCATGGCTACCGATAGCGAATGGTGCATGTTGAAAGACCACACTTGTCCCCAGACAAGAATATAATCACTGCTAGACTAACTAAGAGAAAGAAACAAACAAAAAAAAAAACTAAATTACTGATCAAATATTCTCTGTGCCTGATGGGTTTTGGCACAAAGATGATTGATGTTCTGTGTTACATCATCTGAACCACCACAGTTACCACTGTCAAATGAACCATTTGCACTTTAAAAGATAGGGTATAGTTTTCTGGAACTTCCTGTTGTTCTGGCCAATCAGGGAGATATACCTAATAGTTTGAAACATTGCCAATCATTTGGATGGCTTACTACTGTTAGTATCTTGGTATAGCAGGACTCGAAGCCTTTCTGTCTGGGCCCTCCTTTGTGATGGATAAGTTGTTAGGGATATGTCTGTCCAGGATAACAGTTGCCTTTTATATTATGTTGTCATTACCACCTGGCAGCTCGTTTGCGCTGTGTCTGGTGTGCGGGTTTTCAGATTTGAGTTTTGCTTAGCCAATATACCCAGCATCCCTTGCTGTTTGGGTAAGTTGCCAATCTGAGTTTTAGCAACCAGAAGGCTGCTACAGTCTGTTCTCCCCAGGTCAGTGCAAAAACTCAGTGGGGTCAGTCTGAGACGGAGTATTGGGAACCATAACCACATGCTGAGAATGGTTAGTCTCTTCGTAAGCTCTTGAGATTGGTACCCTCGGTAACATTGATGGAATTGAAGGCTATGATGATGTGAAGCAGGGCATCATCTCTGTACCGTCCACAATGCCCACCCCTCTAATCCTCACCATCAGATTCCTCTCCCATTCCAAACTCTCATACCCAAGTCCACCTCAATCAATCCCTCTCCACCTCAATGTCTGCTCCCATTTTCTGCCTCTTACATGCACTGTCACAGGACTTTAAGACACTCTCCTCAAACTGATGTTACCACCCTTCAGGCTCTTCAATGATAGGGATTGGCTATGTCAAAGGAAAAGAGTGACATTTGGGTTTAAGACTTCTGTCCCACATTAAGAATTAGTCCTGGATATCTTACCAGTTTAAATAAGTCCTCAGAATAAATCTGGAGAACATTAATTCCCTATTCCACCCAAAAGCCTCAGTCAGTACAAGGAAAAATTTTAGATTAACCTTTCAAACCTTACCATCTACTGTCTGATCACCTCGCTAATGGATTTTTCATAGCGTGGTGTTCTCTTTGTAAAGTGAAGCTGTTTTGATCTTCCCTCTGATCACATTCACTCCCAGACCAATCAGCCAGAGAAATAATCAGCGTAGTCACCTTGCCTTCCCTGTGTTTACTCATGCAGCCTCGTGCCTCAGACGAAGACAGTTTACAAACCGATTGTGGTGTCAGATCTCTCTCTGCAATGTACACAGTGAGGTCACACTTTGACCTCTCCAGTTCAAGGGTTCTCACTGCGATCAAACAGGGAGTTACCAAAACCCTCACTTTTCTGAGGTTACAACGTGCTGATATTCCAGAATGCACAAAGCTGTCCCAGACACAGACAGGAGGGTGTACAGGTGATGGGAAGTGATGAGATTGCCACAATTCTTTGTGTCTTCTCTTGGTAATATTCAGTAAACACTGTCACTAATGACCACTCACTCATGATCACCAAGGGCTGGGAGAAGCTGCTCAGTGAGGGAGCTAAGAATTAGCATCAGTCATCACACCTCCCTATCTCTGACCTCTCCAGCCCCAACACACCTACCTTTGTAAAATTCTCCAGCTCCTATACCCCTCCCTCTGTAAACCTCTCCAAGCCCAACACACCTATCTCAATAAAACCCTCCAGCTCTTACGCCTCTCCCTATTTCTGTAACCTCCTCCAATATCTGCATATCTCTGTACCATACCCCCACCTCACTGTAACATCCTCCAGCAATTACATGCCTCTGTGACCTCCTTCAGTCTCTGTGTTCCTCCCGATCTGTGCAACCACCTCCAGCAGTGCCATACCTCTATCTCTGACAACTCACCAGCCCCTATACCTCACTCTACCTCTGGATCATCCTCTAGTGATGTCAGGATTGGCTAGATCGGAGGTGGAGACTGACTTTTGGGATTAAAGCTTTTGACCCATGTTAAGACTCAGTTCTGATTTTTTTTTCCAGTTTAAATAAACTCTAAACTTTCTCTGAATAATCCATTGAGCATTAATTCCCCATTCCCCTCCAAACCCTCAGTCAGTGCTAGAGGAAGAATTCCAGACTAACTTTTCAAACCTCACCATCCTCTGTTTGATCACCGCACTGATGATCTTTTCATAGTGCTGTGTTCTCTTTGTAAAGTGAAACTGCTTTCATCTTTCCTCTGATCATATTCACTCCCAGACAGATCAGCCAGAGACATGGTCAGTGCAGCAATCTTGCCTTCCCTGTATTTACTCTTGCAGCCTCAAACAAAGCAAGATTACAAACCGATTGCGATGTCAGCTCTCTCGCCGGGAGGTCACACTTTGACCTGTCCAGGTCAAGGGGCCTCACCGCAATCAAACAGGGAGTTAGTGAAACCCTTTTCTCAGGTTACAACGTGCTGATCTTCCTGAATGCACAATGCTGTCCCAGACAAAGACAGGAGGGTGTGTGGGTAATGTGCAGTGACACATAGTCAGAGACACACAGACATGGGATGAGACTGCCCTGGACATGTTTCTGAGCTGACTGAGACACATACGATCTGTACAGCAGCAGCTGGGGGCTGAATCATTGTCTGTTTCCTGCACTATGACTGGACATCTTCAGTGAAGAAACCTAAAACAGCTGACTGATGATGGGATGGAGTAGTTTGAAGGGAGATGGAGAGTAAGACCAGAGAGGGTATGGGTCTGGGGCCCATCATACAGAGAGGGTGGGTTTCACCCCTTGTCCCTGTAATACCCTCTTGCTTCATCGTCTACACCAGTCTGCAGCCTCATCTGCTGTGGCTTTTCAAATTATCATTTGAGTCATTCTGAAATGTCTTGAGAATTCACACCTCCACCACTCATTTATGCAGTGAGTTCCAGACACCCATATTACTTTCTTTCTCTTATCTTCCAGACATTTACTTATTAACATCTTGCTTCTCCCTCAACTAAAGGGTTCAATTTCCTTGGCTTACATCTATGCCCCTTTGTCATTAATCCCACTAAGATTGGTGGAGTAGCAGATAGTGAAGGGGACTGTTGGAGAATGCAGCAGAATATAGATAGATTGGAGAGTTGGGCAGAGAAATGGCAGATGGAGTTCAATCCAGGCAAATGCGAGGTGATGCATTTTGGAAGATCCAATTGAAGAGTGAACTATAGGGTAAATGGAAAAACCCTGGGGAAAATTGATGCACAGAGAGATCTGGGTGTTCAGGTCCATTGTACCCTGAAGGTGGCAACGCAGGTCGATCGAGTGGTCAAGAACTCATACGGCACGCTTTCATTCATTGGACGGGGCATTGAGTACAAGAGTTGGCAGGTCATGTTACAGTTGTATAGGACTTTGGTTCAACCACATTTGGAATACCGCATACAGTTCTGGTCGCCACATTACCAAAAGGATGTGGATGCTTTGGAGAGGGTGCAGAGGAGGTTCACCAGGATGTTGCCTGGTATGGAGGGTGCCAGCTATGAAGAGAGGTTGAGTAGATTAGGATTATTTACATTAGAAAGATGGAGGTTGAGGGGGGGCCTGACTGAGGTCTACAAAATCATGACAGGTATAGACAGGGTGGATAGCAAGAAGCTTTCTCCCCAGAGTGGGGGACTCAATTACCAGGGGTCACGATTTCAAGGTGAGAGGGGAAAAATTTAAGGGTGATATGCATGGAAAGTTCTTTACCACCTCCGCTGGCAAAGCGTTCCAGGCACCCAGCACCCTCTGCGTAGAGGCGGGCATGATAGTGTCATTTAAGATGTATTTAGACAGATACATGAATGGGCAGGGAGCAGAGGGAAACAGATCCTTGGAAAACAGGCGACAGGTTTAGATAGAGGATCTGGATCGGCGCAGGCTTGGAAGGCCGAAGGGCCTGTTCCTGTGCTGTAATTTTCTTTGTTCTTTATTTCTTCATGTCAACTCTATCTATATCCATCATAGTTTTAATAATCTCAATCATGGTCCCTCTCCATCTCCTCTGCTCTAAGGAAAACAACCCCAGTCTGTCCCATCTCTCTTTAGAACTTACAATCTCCAGCCCAGGCAACATCCTGGTAAATCTCCTGTGCACCCTCTCCAGTGCACTCACATCCCTCCTAGAATAAGCAGAACTCTATATTAGAGTATGTTTTACAGGAAGTTGAGTACAGGCAGGTGCAGCCTTATTAAGCCATTGCCTGTAATATTGTCGACAGTTCCAAGGTGCTCTGTTTCAAAGGAAATTTAATTGGTCACACTACTATGCTTTCAGCAAAACACTTAATTCTTACACCGCAGTTAAAACACAAGCAGAAAAAAAAAAGAATGAGCACAACTTTACTCTATCAAAATAATATGTTATCTAACTTCTACTCATGAACTGTACCAGTACAGCAGCATCCGAAAAACACAGCCTTGGCAAAGGCAAATTCAGCAAAACAGATACCCCTCACTTGCTATCTACTCCAGTCCAGAAGAAACGAACACCAAAAGAAACGAACAATCTCACAGGAGAGAAAGAACTCAAGACTTTTTCTGCAGCAGCAGGAGAGCGAGATCACTGTATCTAGCAGCTTCAAAACCAAAAAACACAAATTCAACAACAGAAAATAAAACTACGGCCGCTGAATCTATGTGAGCATGACTCCACCCACTCATCCTTCCTTTGTCTAACTTTAAAAAACCCCAAACTATCTACTTTGCTTTCTGCAGAGCTGACACCTCATCATCAGACTGACAACACCTCTCTTCAAGACAAACAGGACAGAACAAATCCTTCGTAAATGCACAATTGGTTCAGACACAGAGGTATCAGCCTGCTCTCCTTGGGGTCAGTTTAACAGATACAGTGGGGTCAGACTGTTCTCCTTGGGGGTCAGTGATACAGACAAATTGAGCTCTCTCCAGCATCTGCAATACAAACAATGTCATTTCTGTCTGTTCACCCCATGGTCAGTAATACATACAGTGGGGTCAGTCTGCGCCTCCCCTGGGTCAGTGACAGAGACACAGTTGGATCAATCTCCTCTCCCCGGGTCAGTGACAGAGACATAGTCATAGTCATAGTCATAGTCATATCAGGCTGCTTTCCCCGCGGACGGTGACAGAGGCACATTTGGGGTCAGTGTGCTGTCCCCTAAATCAGTAACAGAGACACAATTGGTCAGTCTGCTCCCCGCTGCGTCAGTAAAAGAGAACCGGTGGGGCTAAGTCTGCTCTCATCTGAGTCCATTGGACCGTTCTGTATCACCTGTCCATTGTGGAGAAATTTGCAAAGGAGAACATCTTTGACCACAAGTCCATCAGGGAGTGGTCAGCACGTTGCATCCTCGAGACCCTGTGGGAAAAGGAGAGAGTGGATCCTGTTAGGTTGTTCCCTGAGCAGACTGTCAAAGTCATTTGATAGAATGCCTCATCATCAGAAGTTTCCAACGAGCACAAAGACATCGCTGGCTGGCGGTGAGAAGGGCACTGCCTGTGAGATCCTTCTTGTATGCCCAGACTGTGCGCTCCACCACATGCTGCCCTCAAAGGGGCTGGGGGAGGGGGGGGTTTGGAAAGAGTTGGGACGACAGGGAATAACACTGTCACACATATCTGGAATATTCCTCTGCAAAGGAAGTTTGCAGAAAGATGCAGTGGTTTTTGTCCAAGGTCATCCTGAGCAGCTCCATGGTCTATTCCCTGGGGCCCACACGGAGACAGGCATCGACTGTGCCTGGAGGACAATCAACGCAGTGAAAGATGCTCTTTGGTCTGCCCGAAACTTGTTGGTCTTCCAGAACAAGGAGGTGACCCTGACCGAGTGTTGCAGACCGGCACATTCCAAGGTCCAGGAGTACGTGCTCAGGGATGGACTAAATCGTAGACAAGTAAGAGATGCCTCTGGTTTGTTTATTGCATACAGTCCAACTCCAATGTTTTTGTTTTCTTCATATGCTTTTGTACAGAACTGAAATGCTTGAGTAACTATGGAGGTATACACACATTTTTTATGAGTACAGGATATTTTTGAAAAAAAAACCTTCCTTTGATACAGGATCTAAATCTGCTCATAATTTTTCAAATTTCACGCCTTATACAGCCTGAGCAGTACATCCCTGAGCTTTTATTCTAACCTTCTCAAACAAACATGAATATTGCATTTACCTAACTGCCAACTGAACCTGCATTTAACCTGAAAAGAATGCTGAACACAAACTAACAAGTCCCTTTGCGCTTCAGAATTCTGAAGCCTTTCCCCATTTAGAAAACACTCTGCCCCTTTCTCCTTTTAATCCCACCGTATCACCTCACACACTTTCCCACATTGTATTCCGCCTGCCAACTGAACCTTAAGGGAATCCTGAACAAGGACTTAACCCCCCCCAGTACCTTTTTCTGTGCTTCAGGTCTAGCAGCATCTGCCCAGAGAGAGAGAGATAAATCAGAGACAACGTTTCGAGTCGGGGAACGGCCGTCCTACTGAAGAGTGCGCTTTGGGACTTGATGCACCGACACACAATTTCTTCATCACTTTCACCTCCCTGTCTGTGAGTATTTTTCATTCTGATACATATTATTGTGTGTGGCGACACCCGGAGCCGGCCCCTTTTGTGTTTTTGTTTTCTCTCCTGAAAGGGTTGTTTCTCTTTAAAGAGTTTTTCTTCTGAAGCAGCTGCCAACAGTCACTTGGGGCACGAGACGGCCATCAACCGCCATTTCGCGCGCGTGGGGTGGGGCCTGAAGCTAAAATGGCGGCGGTCCCACCCAGAAAGGAAAAGCGTATGGGGAGAGTGAACTGTGTCGGTAAAGTCCTGTTCCCTAAGGTTATGGTGGTGGGACGTTGGCGGGTGGAGAGGAAGAGGAGACAATCCGCTTGGGTCCAGTGAGTCACCTTGCCGGTAAGTGGGGTTGGGCAACCGGTACCCCCGATTTTATTTTGTATTCCCATCCCCCTCACCCCGTATCACTCAGCCTCGAGTTTTTATTTAAACTGGACTGTATTTTTAATGAATGCATTCTGATTAATTAATCACTGCCCATATGGTCATTTCTCTCTCACACATTTTCCAATCCCCTTTCCCAGCCCTGGAAATGTAATAGCAGCCGGTTCCCACCCTTATTATTTCTCCCTCACACTGTCCAACGCACGGGGAATAATTATTGTGTGTTCCATCTCCCTGATCCGAATGGACTGCTTCCACGCTGTAGGGATTCGACGATTGTCCTAAATTATACATGCATTTGGAAAGATAGGGTTTGATTAGGAGTAGTCAACATAGCTTCTGTGTAGGAGATCATGCCTCACAAATTTGTTCTTTGATGAAGTGACCAGGAAGGTTGACGTGGTCTGTGTGCATTTCAGTAAGGCCTTTGCTAAGGTTCCACGTGATAGGTTGCTCTGGAAACGTAGATTGCATTGGAATCCATGGAGAGCTGGTAAATGGCATACACAATTGGCTTGATGGTAGGAAGCAGAGAGTAATTGTGGAAGGATGCTTGTCAGACTGGAGGCCTACGGCTAGTGGTGTGCCTCAGGGGTTGATGCTGGGCCCATTGCTGTTTGTTATCTATATCAATGATTTGGATGAGAATGTACAAGGTATGATTAGTAAGTTTGCAGATGACACCTAAAATAAGTGGTATCGTGGACAGTGAGGAAGATTATCAGGAATTGCAGCAGGATCTTGATCAGCTGGGGAAGTGGGCTGAGAAATGGGAAATGGAGTTTAATATGGATAAGTGTGAGGTGTTGCATTTTGGAAAGTAAAATCAAGATAGGAGTTTCACGGTGAATGGTAGGGCCTTAAGGAGTGTAATGGAATAGAGGGACCTTGGAGTTCAGGTGCATGGTTCTCTGAAATTGGAGTCATAGGTAGACGGAGCAGTGAAGAAGGCTTTTGGCACACTGGCCTTCATCAGTCAGGGCATTGAGTACAGAAGTTGGGAAGTTGTGTTGCAGTTGTCCAGGACGTTGGTGAGGTTGCAGTTGGAGTATTGTGTTCAGTTTTGGTCACCTTGCTATAGGAAGGATGTTATTAAACTGGAAAGAGTGCAGAGGACATTTTCAAGGCTGTTGCCAGGACTCCACGGTCTGTGTCATAGGGAGAGGTTGGACAAGCTAGGACTGTTTTGTTTAGAGTGTAGGAGACTGAAGGGGGATCTTAGAAGTGTATAAGATCATGAGGCATGGATAGGGTGAATGCACTCAGTCTTCTTCCAGGGTTGGGGAATCAAGGACGAGAGGACATCAAAGGTAAAGGGGAAAGAATAAATGGGAGCCTGAGGGACAGTTTTTTTACACAGAGGGTGGTATGCATATGGAATGAGCTGCCAGTGGAAGTAGTTGAGGTGGGTACATTAACAACATTTAAAAGGCATTTGGATGAATACATGGATCGGAAAGGTTTAGAAGGATATTGACCAAGTGCAGGGAAATGGGGTTAGAATGGATGGACATTTTGGTTGGCATTGACCAATTTGGGCCAAAGGACCTGTCTCTGTGCTGTATGACTCTATGATCACCTTTGTCACCTCCTCAAAAAAATTCAATCAAGTTAATAAGACATGACCTGCCCTGCACAAAGCCATGCTGACTGTCCCTAATCGGGCTATATTTTTTCCAAATGCGCACAATTCTTATCCCTAAGAATTCTCTTCAATATCTTCACATCACCGATGTGAGACTCACTAGTCTATAGTTTCCTTCTTGAACAGAGTAACAACATTAGCTACTCGCCAGTCCTCCCGGACCTCTCCAGTGGCTAGCGAAGATACAAAGGTCTTAGTCAAGGCCCCAGCAATCTCCTATCTTGCCTCTCCCAGTAATCTGGGGTAGATACCATTGGGTCGCGGGGACTTATCCAACTTAATGCTCTTCAAGACACCCACACTTCTTTCTTGATCTCAAAATGCTGTAGCATATTAGCATGCTCCACACAAATTTCACTGTCCTCCATATCCTTCTCCTGGGTGAATACTGACACAAAGTACTCACTTAGGATCTCACCCACATCCTCTGCCTCCAAGCACAAGTTCCCTCCTTTATCCTTGAGTGGTTCTACCTTCTCCCTAGTTGTCCTCTTGTTTTTAATGTATGTATAGAATGCCTAGGGATTCTCTTTAACCCTACTTGCCACGGTCATTTCAAAGCTCCTTCTTGCTCTCCTAATTCCCTGCTTGAGTTCTTTCCTCTTTCTTTATATTCCTCATGAGCCCTGTCCAATTTTAGCTTCATAAATCTTACATATCCTTCACTTTTCCTTTTGACTAAATTCATAACCTCCCTTGTTATCCAAAGGTCCCTTACCTTACTATCCTTGTCCTTTCTCCTTGCTGGATTATGCTGGTCCTGAACTCTCATTAGCTGGTCTTTAAACAAGTCCCCATGTCAAATGTAGACTTGCCTCATAACACTTCCTAGTTCCTGTCTAATGCTGACATAATTTGCTGTCTCCCAATTTTGTACCTTGTCACAAGGTCCTGACATATCCTTGATATTAGCTATCTTAAAACTTGAGGAGTTGTGATAACTGTTTCCAAAATGCTCTCCTACTGTAACAAATTCTGCCCTGTCTAAGCCTGTTGCTCTAACAGAGTCCCAGTCAATACTGGGAAGTTAAAGTCACCCACTATGACAACTCTGTTTTTATTGCATCTTTCCATAATCTGCCTACATATTTGTACCTCAATGTCTTGGTGGCTGTTGGGGGGCCTATAGTATAATGCTGTCATAGTGACTACACCCATCTTATTTTTGAGGTTTACCCATATTGCGTCAGTGGATGGGCCCTCCAGTATGTCCTCCATGAGTGCAGATGTAACATTCTCCCTGATTAGTGATGCAACTCTCAACATCATTTACCTTCCACTCTATCTTGTCTAAAACAACAAAACGCTGGAGATTGAGCAGCCAGTCCTGCCTGTCTCTCAACCAGGTCTCTGTAATGACCACAACATCATTGTCCCATGCACTGATCCAGGCTCTAAGCTCATCTGCCTTACCTATAATACCCCATGAATTGAAATAAACACATTTTAGCTGATTTAATATTATTGTGTTCATTTACCTGTTTCTGCCTGTCATTTCTTTCTGAATTACTGGTGCCAACATCTACCTTCCCCTTAATTCCTCCACTTGCTGACATGCCACTCTGGTCCCAGCACCCTGCCACTCTCATTTAAACCATCCTGAGTAGCACCACTGGACCTCCCTGTGATGATGTTGGTTCCCCTCCAGTTTAGGTGCAACCTGTTCCTCTTGTATAGGTCACCTCTGCTCCAGAAGAGATTTCAATGATTCAAGAAGCTGAAACTCTGCCTCCTGCACCAGCTCCTTAGCCAAGCATTCATTTGTCCTATCTTTCTATTCCTTACCTCTCTAGCATGCAGCACAGGCAGTAACCCAGAGATTACTACTCTCGAGGTCCTGCTTTTCAGCCTCTTTCCTGACTCACTGTACTCACTCTGCAGGACCTCATCCCCTTTCTGCCTGTGTCGTTGGTACCAATGTGCACAACAACCTCTGGCTGCTCACCCTCCCCCTTAAGAATTTTGTGCAATGGCTCAGAGATGTCCTTGACCCTGGCACCAGGGAGGCAACACGCCATCCTGGAGTCTCAATCGCGGCCACCTGTCTGTGCCCCTAACCAGCGAGTCTCCTACCACTGTTACTTGCTTATACCTTACACAACCCTGCTGTACAGCAGAACCGGTTTTGGTGCCATAGGCCTGGCTGCTGCTGTTACACTCCCCTGAGAGGCTGGCCGCCCAGCGGTATCCAAAAGGGTATACCTGTTAGACAGGGGAATAACCACAAGAAACTGCCTGCCTGCCTGCCTGCCTCACCTGGCAGTCACCCATCTACCTGACTGAACCCATGGTGTAACCACCTCCCTGTAACGAGTGTCTATTTATGCTCTCTACCCCCTGTATGCTCCTTAGTGTGTCCAACTGAACAACATGGTCTGTGAGGAGCTGCAATCGGTGACACTTCCTGCAGACATAGTCATCAGGGTCATGAGATGGCTCCCTGATCTCCCAGATCTGGCAGGAGGAGCGCACCATTGACCTAACTGCAACATCTGCTCCACAGCAAAGGGTCTGTTTCTGTGCTGTATGACTCTATGACTGTACTCCAACTGTGGCCTAACCCTGCTCTTGTAATAAATACCTTAACTAGGATGGGCAAGTATCCCTTATGCCTTTTTAACCTCCTTATTCACCAGCCTTGTTGCTATCATGGATCTGTGGAAATGCACAGCAGGTTCTCTGACTCTCTGAACTTCATAGGGTCCTACTATTCACCATGTACTCCATCACCTTGTCCGCCGTCCCAAATATATCAGCTCACAATTTCCATGACTGCTGTAGCCCTGCCCCATCTGAGGCTTTCCTTCTTGCAAGTTCATGTCATCTGCCACCTTACTGACCAAACCTCTTCCATTCATGTCCAGACCATTAATGCACACCGCACCCACCATCCTTAGTTCTGTCTGTTCCAATGCATTCACCCATTTGTTTCCTGACGACTGGCCTCCTTTGTTTTCTCACTCTGCCATACATACTTGGCACCTGCTAAGCTTAACCACCCTGCCACGGTAA